AGGAGGAGGGAAGGATGGAAACACCACAGTAATGTAATGTTTGGGGCATACCTTTCCTTGACACTGGGTTCTTCTTCACTCTGCTGATCAGTTGTGGTGTTTGAGCCGACTTCCCCCAGAATGCTTTTCCTTAAATTTCAAAAATATACTTTATTCATAAAAAACCTTTCTATATATACATTGTCACAAAAGTAGTTCAGTTCTGTACAGTTGCATATTACGTAAATAAACAAAACATTGGACTCTATCCAAAACACCAAAGACCTCTCTTACACATACATCACTAATATTTATATATATTTGAGGCACTAGGAGGATCCGATAAATGAACGAACTCCCATTTACCTTCAACGTAAGAACCTCAGACAGTGGTATTTCCCCACTGCACTTTGCCAGCGGCTGCCCCAAACTGCAGTGCGTCCCTTAGCACATAGTCCTGGACCTTGGACTGTACCAGCCTGCAATGCTTAGTTGGCATCAACTCCTTGTTCTGGAAGACTAACAACATTCAGGCAGAGCAAAGAACATCTTTCACCAAGTTGATGGTTCTCCAGGCGCAGTTGATGTTTGTCTTGGTGTGTGTCTCAGGGAACAGACTGTAGAGCACAGAGTGCTGCATCACAGAGCTGCTCGGGACGAACCTCAACACAAACCACCCTCTGCCATCCTCTACTGGATGCTCTTCCTCCTACTTATCACTTGGTGGGGGGGGGGTCTTCCTCGCTCTGCTGATCAGTCATGGTGACTGAGCTGATTTCTCCCAGAATGCTCCTCAGCGAAGTCTCTCTGCCATCCTCTATATGGAAATGGAAAATGCCACACTTACAATCTCCTACTATATTTGTGCATATAGCTTTTGCTGTATTCATCATAAGGTCTGTTTGTCATGTAGAGGCATTCTATGGCCCTCCTTAGAATCATTCAGTACAGAAGAGACTCTTCAGCTCATCAAATCTGACTGCCAAAAATACATTAAATTGATGCTAGTCCCACTTCCCAGCACCAAGCCCATAGGCCTGAATGTTAAAACATTTCAAGTGCTCATCCAGGTACTTTTTGACGATTGGATCAGAGATAGTTGGAACTGCAGATGCTGGAGAATCCGAGACAACAAGGTGCAGAGCTGGATGAACACAGCAGGCCAAGCAGCA